CTTACTGTTCTCAGGGTCCCCACTGTACCTTACTGTTCTCAGGGGCCCCACTGTATCTTACTGTTCTCAGGGTCCCCACTGTACCTTACTGTTCTCAGGGGCCCCACTGTACCTTACTGTTCTCAGGGGCCCCACTGTATCTTACTGTTCTCAGGGTCCCCACTGTACCTTACTGTTAACAGGGTCCCCACTGTACCTTACTGTTCTCAGGGGCCCCACTGTACCTTACTGTTCTCAGGGGCCCCACTGTACCTTACTGTTCTCAGGGTCCCCACTGTACCTTACTGTTCTCAGGGGCCCCACTGTATCTTACTGTTCTCAGGGCCCCCACTGTACCTTACTGTACTCAGGGTCCCCACTGTACCTTACTGTTCTCAGGGGCCCCACTGTATCTTACTGTTCTCAGGGTCCCCACTGTACCTTACTGTTCTCAGGGCCCCCTACTGTATCTTACTGTTCTCAGGGTCCCCACTGTACCTTACTGTTCTCAGGGCCCCCACTGTACCTTACTGTTCTCAGGGTCCCCCACTGTACCTTACTGTTCTCAGGGTCCCCACTGTACCTTACTGTTCTCAGGGCCCCCACTGTACCTTACTGTTCTCAGGGGCCCCACTGTATCTTACTGTTCTCAGGGTCCCCACTGTATCTTACTGTTCTCAGGGTCCCCACTGTACCTTACTGTTCTCAGGGTCCCCACTGTATCTTACTGTTCTCAGGGGCCCCACTGTATCTTACTGTTCTCAGGGTCCCCACTGTACCTTACTGTTCTCAGGGTCCCCACTGTACCTTACTGTTCTCAGGGTCCCCACTGTATCTTACTGTTCTCAGGGTCCCCACTGTATCTTACTGTTCTCAGGGTCCCCACTGTATCTTACTGTTCTCAGGGTCCCCACTGTATCTTACTGTTCACAGGGTCCCCACTGTACCTTACTGTTCTCAGGGTCCCCACTGTATCTTACTGTTCTCAGGGCCCCCACTGTACCTTACTGTTCTCAGGGTCCCCCCTGTACCTTACTGTTCTCAGGGACCCCTACTGTATCTTACTGTTCTCAGGGACCCCACTGTATCTTACTGTTCTCAGGGCCCCCACTGTATCTTACTGTTCTCAGGGCCCCCACTGTATCTTACTGTTCTCAGGGACCCCACTGTATCTTACTGTTCTCAGGGTCCCCACTGTATCTTACTGTTCTCAGGGCCCCCACTGTATCTTACTGTTCTCAGGGACCCCACTGTATCTTACTGTTCTCAGGGACCCCTACTGTATCTTACTGTTCTCAGGGCCCCCACTGTACCTTACTGTTCTCAGGGCCCCCACTGTATCTTACTGTTCTCAGGGTCCCCACTGTACCTTACTGTTCTCAGGGTCCCCACTGTATCTTACTGTTCTCAGGGGCCCCACTGTATCTTACTGTTCTCAGGGTCCCCACTGTACCTTACTGTTCTCAGGGCCCCCACTGTACCTTACTGTTCTCAGGGGCCCCACTGTATCTTACTGTTCTCAGGGTCCCCACTGTATCTTACTGTTCTCAGGGTCCCCACTGTATCTTACTGTTCTCAGGGCCCCCACTGTATCTTACTGTTCTCAGGGCCCCCACTGTATCTTACTGTTCTCAGGGCCCCCACTGTATCTTACTGTTCTCAGGGCCCCCACTGTATCTTACTGTTCTCAGGGCCCCACTGTGTGTTACTGTTCTTAGGGCCCCCACTGTATCTTACTGTTCTCAGGGCCCCACTGTATCTTACTGTTCTCAGGGCCCCCACTGTATCTTACTGTTCTCAGGGCCCCACTGTGTCTTACTGTTCTCAGGGCCCCCACTGTATCTTACTGTTCTCAGGGCCCCACTGTGTCTTACTGTTCTTAGGGCCCCCACTGTATCTTACTGTTCTCAGGGCCCCACTGTGTCTTACTGTTCTTAGGGCCCCCACTGTATCTTACTGTTCTCAGGGCCCCACTGTCTTACTGTTCTTAGGGCCCCCACTGTATCTTACTGTTCTCAGGGCCCCACTGTGTCTTACTGTTCTTAGGGCCCCCACTGTATCTTACTGTTCTCAGGGCCCCACTGTGTCTTACTGTTCTTAGGGCCCCCACTGTATCTTACTGTTCTCAGTGCCCCACTGTGTCTTACTGTTCTTAGGGCCCCCACTGTATCTTACTGTTCTCAGGGCCCCACTGTGTCTTACTGTTCTTAGGGCCCCCACTGTATCTTACTGTTCTCAGGGCCCCACTGTGTCTTACTGTTCTTAGGGCCCCCACTGTATCTTACTGTTCTCAGGGCCCCCACTGTATCTTACTGTTCTCAGGGCCCCCACTGTGTCTTACTGTTCTCAGGGGCCCCACTGTATCTTACTGTTCTCAGGGGCCCCACTCTATCTTACTGTTCTCAGGGCCCCCACTGTATCTTACTGTTCTCAGGGCCCCACTGTGTCTTACTGTTCTCAGGGCCCCACTGTATCTTACTGTTCTCAGGGACACCACTGTATCTTACTGTTCTTAGGGCCCCCACTGTATCTTACTGTTCTCAGGGCCCCTACTGTATCTTACTGTTCTCAGGGACCCCACTGTATCTTACTGTTGTCAGGGCCCCCACTGTATCTTACTGTTCTCAGGGCCCCTACTGTATCTTACTGTTCTCAGGGACCCCTACTGTATCTTACTGTTCTCAGGGTCCCCATTGTACCTTACTGTTCTCAAGGCCCCCACTGTGTCTTACTGTTCTCAGGGCCCCCACTGTGTCTTACTGTTCTCAGGGCCCCCACTGTGTCTTACTGTTCTCAGGGTCCCCATTGTACCTTACTGTTCTCAGGGCCCCCACTGTATCTTACTGTTCTCAGGGCCCCCACTGTACCTTACTGATCTCAGGGCCCCCACTGTATCTTACTGTTCTCAGGGCCCCCACTGTATCTTACTGTTCTCAGGGACCCCTACTGTATCTTACTGTTCTCAGGGTCCCCATTGTACCTTACTGTTCTCAGGGCCCCCACTCTATCTTACTGTTCTCAGGGCCCCCACTGTACCTTACTGTTCTCAGGGCCCCCACTGTATCTTACTGTTCTCAGGGCCCCCACTGTATCTTACTGTTCTCAGGGACCCCTACTGTATCTTACTGTTCTCAGGGACCCCACTGTACCTTACTGTTCTCAGGGTCCCCATTGTATCTTACTGTTCTCAGGGACCCCTACTGTATCATACTGTTCTCAGGGCCCCTACTGTATCTTACTGTTCTCAGGGACCCCTACTGTATCTTACTGTTCTCAGGATCCCCACTGTACCTTACTGTTCTCAGGGGCCCCACTGTATCTTACTGTTCTCAGGGACCCCTACTGTATCTTACTGTTCTCAGGGTCCCCACTGTACCTTACTGTTCTCAGGGGCCCCACTGTATCTTACTGTTCTCAGGGGCCCCACTGTATCTTACTGTTCTCAGGGTCCCCACTGTACCTTACTGTTCTCAGGGACCCCTACTGTATCTTACTGTTCTCAGGATCCCCACTGTACCTTACTGTTCTCAGGGACCCCTACTGTATCTTACTGTTCTCAGGGACCCCTACTGTATCTTACTGTTCTCAGGGGCCCCACTGTATCTTACTGTTCTCAGGGACCCCTACTGTATCTTACTGTTCTCAGGGGCCCCACTGTATCTTACTGTTCTCAGGGACCCCTACTGTATCTTACTGTTCTCAGGGGCCCCACTGTATCTTACTGTTCTCAGGGACCCCTACTGTATCTTACTGTTCTCAGGGACCCCTACTGTATCTTACTGTTCTCAGGGACCCCTACTGTATCTTACTGTTCTCAGGGGCCCCACTGTACCTTACTGTTCTCAGGGACCCCTACTGTATCTTACTGTTCTCAGGGGCCCCACTGTACCTTACTGTTCTCAGGGGCCCCACTGTATCTTACTGTTCTCAGGGGCCCCACTGTATCTTACCTATCCATGATTTTAAACAGTAATATCGCATAAAATCACATACATAGAGAAAAGTAGTCAGCAATAAGGACCCAATGGAAGTCGCTCCGACAATTTTTTTTTTTTTTTTTTTTTTGGGGGGGGGGTTCCTGGGTAATTTACACATATATTACTCTGTATGATAACTTGTGTAAGTGTACTTATGTGTACCTGTGGCTAAATAAACTTATTAACATACATAAACAGCAGCAGAAGAGTCTTGTCGTGTACTAGACGTGTTTTAACAGAAGCCGGACCTGTCTATTACGATCCTTGTCTACGTGACTCTGGCTGATGCAAGATCCTCGCCATGTTCTCCATCACCCAACAAGTTTATTTAGGCGCAGATAGACATAAGTAGTTATGATAGTGTAAGTTACCTAGTATAACCCCCCAAAAGTCAAATTGACTTATTTCCAATGGGTTCTTTGTAGTATTTTATTTAAGACAGATGTCCATGGAAATAAGTCACTTTTTCTGGCTTTTTTGGTTAATTCTGGATAAATTTCACATGTTACCATGTATGGTAATTGTACTTATGTACCTGTACCTAAATAAAGTTACTGATCCTTGACGTGTGTACATTATCATATATACAGAGCTAGTATTGTCTAGTATTAACGACCGAATTAATACAATAGGAAATTTAATACAATAGGACATTTTTGCTGCTCCGAAATTTGTCGAATTTTCTTTATGGTAAATCTACTTTCATGATTTTTTTTATTTTTGGGGGGCATGTCTATTTGTGTTCAACTCTGTTACTGGGTCAATATTAATACAGTACATCAATATATTGCTTTTTAGTCTATGCCTTGACGTCATGACCAAAAAAAAGAGAATGACTCAGGCTTTCCGGTTCCTAGGTTCCTACGTCCTCTGCGACATGCGCGCCACCTGGGCTCTAGTTATACGTTTGGTACACTTATTTAGGCCAATCAGAGCTTAGATTCGAGCGACTGGTATGAGACGAGCCTTCTGATTGGCGGAGAGTATCAAAGTAGTGACGCAAGCTGTGTGAGCTCACGACGGTTATATAAGGGAGTCACTGGGGCGCGGCTCCTCATATTATCCCCAGACTAAGTTGAGTGAGCACGCAACTGTGAACCGCAATTTTTTTGCATTATTTCTCTACGTTATCTGTGCTTATAGAGGAAAACCGTACTAAGAAACTTTCAAAAGAAAACAGAAGAGTATTTCAATGGAGAACTTCCCAGAAATCGAATCCCTTCTGGCCAACAACGTCTTCAAAATGGCACCGCAGAACGGACGTGATGAAAGTGAACAGGTTATCGAGTTTGACTTGGATCAACTGACAGATGAAGGTGGGCTGGTCAATTTTATTCTAGGTAGTGACCTTGAGTCTGACACCCAGACTGAGCCTTCAAGGCAATCTGACGATATAGTGAACTATACAACTTTGAAGGCAGTGCCACCCATGACCCTGGGATCTGTGGTAGACACCCCATATACTGACCTCGATAATCCAACCTTTGTAACACAGATGTTCACCAGTGAGGTCACCATTCCAAGTACTGTGCAGAGCATTGAAGAAGTGAGCATTCCAAGTACAGTGGAGTCCATGCCCGTCACTGCAGCTGATGACTTCAACTTCGAGCATATGGTGGCAGTGGCACCTTCAGACATCTTCTGCGAGGAAGCTCCCAAGAAGAGAGGACGTAAACGCAAGTCACAAGATGAGGCCAGACCTTCCCGCAGGCGACGCCCCAAGAAGCCAAAAGTTTACGAAATTGAAACCCCATTTGAAAATGAAGAGTTGGAGAGGAAACGCAAGAACGCCCAGAATGCCAAGAGACATCGTGACTTGCAAAAGCAGAGACTACTGGATATGCAGAAGGCGCTGGATACTGTTACTGCAGAGAAAAATGGCCTGCAGGAGGAGGTTCGACAACTACGGCAGGAGCAGGCGAGGTTGATGCAGCAAATACAAATCTACCAGCAGCAGAATGGAGGCACCGTTTATATCCTGTCCTGAACATCTAACGTCGAAACCACCTGATGACCAACCTGGAGCAGAATCAAAAGAAAAATGGAACTGAACCCAAAGACAAACCAGTTACAGCATCCTGTCAAGCAGGGTGCTCTTACCCGCTTGAAACAACACCACTCTACCTGTACACTGCATGTCAGCTCTCCTGCATGAGAACATATGAGCTCTCGTGTGTGAGAGCATGTGAGCTCTCCTGCATGAGAACATGTGAACTCTTCTGCATGAGAACGTATGTGCTTGTGCATCACTACAACATGTTACACATTACAACTTACTCTACACTTACATGCATTTTTTTTGTTTTAATTGCTCTTAACTGTGATATATGCAAGTTTTTAACTACCTCACCTAACTTATTGTGATTGCTAAAGATTGCTCAACTATAATTACCTCAAATGTGATATTTATATAAGAACGGGGTAACTTTTGCATTTGATATTTCGAGTACTGAAAAGACATCAAATTTCAGTGCTATAATTCACACTAATAACTAATCACATGATTTTTTTTTTAATTTCAGGTTCAGTTCATCGTGGTGGACTGCTACTGGTGCTGTGTTAGAAACCTAGAGAGTTCCAGGGGGGTCAGCGCCCCCGTGACCCGGTCTGTTGCCATGATGTGACCACCACCACAGTCCAACATCCCAGGAACAACGACCACATTACTGTTTTAGCTATGCTGTGGCGTAAGTGGTATACACTGTAAAGTCTGAATATTTATCTAAGCTTTATGCTAAGTTGGCGGATTTATAAACTTTTATGATAGGGTTAATTTATAAACTAGTTGTATGCTAGGTTTGGTGAATTTATAAAGTAGTTGTATGCTAGGTTTGGTGAATTTATATAGTTGTATGCTAGTTTGATAATTTATAAACTAGTTGTATGCTAGGTTTGATAATTTATAAACTAGTTGTATGCTAGGTTTGATAATTTATAAACTAGTATGCTAGGTTTGATAATTTATAAACTAGTTGTATGCTATGTTTGATAATTTATAAACTAGTTGTATGCTACGTTTGATAATTTATAAACTAGTTGTATGCTACGTTTGATAATTTATAAACTAGTTGTATGCTACATTTGATAATTTATAAACTAGTTGTATGCTATGTTTGATAATTTATAAACTAGTATGGAAGATTTGAATTTATACAGTTTAACACTTGTAATGAATGTTGAATTTATAAATTAGTATGCAGGGTTTGAATTTATACAGTTTAGCACTTAGTTTTCACTGTTGAATTTATTGACTAGTTTTATGCTAGATATATGTGCCAATTTATGTATTATAATTTAACTATTGTAATTATCGTGAGTATTTTGCTACAAGAACAAATTTTACAAAAATATAAGAATGGTTTGTGACTCGTTTATGTTCTGTAGATTTTGTAATGTTAATAAGGTAATCTATTTTTAATTGACTAATTAAAAGCACACAACATTGCTATATAGATTTGGCATAATTTGTTCATGTAGAAAATATATATCTATTATTACATGTTCATAATTCAGCAGGTTTATTGCATAACAAAAATTGCTAATTTACCAGGTATTTTGTGCAACAGTACATTAATAATTTAGCAGATTATTGCCCAACATGATTATAATAGTGATTTAAAAAGGAATGAGTATAACACTAGGACATATTTGAAAACATTTTTAGTCCTGAGACCTTGATCATTTCTGAGAAGTAATCAAGGTTCCAGGGCTGAAAAGTTCATGAATATCCCATTGTTTGCTCACATATATTTAAACTCCTTTGTATCTAATACCAAGGTTTACACTGGAATTTTATAATTAAGCTGATATAGTTCTCTTAACAAATTTTCTTACTCAAAATTAATGTTCTGATTGCAGTTATGATTTTTTAAAGCTATTTAAAAACTTTTATTTAAACTAACAATATATAAGGCTGTGATGTAATTTATAGTATCTAGTCTTTTGTCTAAATAGTCTTGTCTGACGATTTGACTGACTACTTAGTTCAGTTTGATTACTAATAGTACAAATTGATCCTAGTCATTGTAAGAGTATATTGTGTATAGTCCTTTGTCTGTGGATCTGACTTAATTACCTAGTGCAAATTAAAGTACAAATTTACACTTATATATCACAATAGTTATAAGTCTTTATGGTTGGTCCATCTCTATGTGCATTCACAAATGATAACTCACTTGTATATGGTAACTGTAATAACATTTTATGTAGCTTAAAGGGATAGGGGAGATTGTGTATATCAGTGGTGTGTAATACAAACAAGATTATCAATTACACATGTACAGTATTTGAGTATCTGATTCTGTGGACGTTTCGTCAACCAGTGGCTTTATTGATACAATATAGGAAACTGGAGAGGTAGAAGACGAGATAATCAGTCCATCAGCCTAGAAGCAGAACACAAGTCTTGACAGTCGTCAAGACTGTGTACTGAACATTGCTCCTTGTACTGATTTGTGTACTGAACATTACTCCTTGTACTGATTTGTGTACAGAACATTACTCCTTGTACTGATTTGTGTACAGAACATTGCTCCTTGTACTGATTATCTCATTTTCTACCTCTCCAGTCTTCTGTATTGCATTGGTCAAGCCACTGGCTGACGAAACGTCTACAGAATAGACACCCAGATGTTGCACGTCTTAATTCATTATAGGGGAGATTGCCATGGTGCAAGTGAAGGACTCCTCTAAGGAATTTGAGTTATCCTAGACTTCCTTGGATTGAATCTGATTACATCCTATTTCCCAGGCACTGCATTGACTCCTACGATTTTAGTGCTCCCTCTTGAGTTTATGTAAATATTACTCATTGGAAAGAGCTAAAACTTGAGGAGTCTGCAATGCTTCAAGAATGGGAGGTAATTAGGTTTGATCCTGGGAAGGAGAGAGTGCTGAAATTACTCTTGATCAAGAGCCTGTCACCAGCATCAAGGTAACCTGTCCCTCTTAGAAGGGGAGAGGGTTCTTTCTACAGCTTTACTATTGCACTATTTAATTATTTTTGGTATGTATGTACTTGTTTTGCTTGACATTTACTTGTTTTAACTATTTTATAAGGCGCTGTATAATCCTCCGGGTTTAGCGCTTCCCCCTTGATTATAATAATAATAATTTAACTATTTTATAACATCTCCCATTTTTATTCCCTACTTCTTCAATTTCTTTTTCTGCTCTTGCCACTTTTCCTCATTATTTTGTCTGCATTTCTGTTTTTATCCTACCCCATCTAATTAATTTATCTAGCTTCTCTTCATTATTTGTTTCCTCTTCTGCCTTCTGTTTCACTTCTCATTTTTTTTTTTCCTCTTCTGCCTCCTGTTTCACTTCTCATCTTTTTTTCCTCTTCTGCTTATAGTCCTTGTGGCTTGCGCTTCTTTTTGATTATAATAATAATAATTTTCCTCTTCTGCCTTCTGTTTCACTTCTCATTTTTTTTCTTCCTCTTCTGCCTTCTGTTTCACTTCTCATCTTTTTTCCTCTTCTGCCTTCTGTTTCACTTCTCATCTTATTTTCTCTTCTGCCTTCGTTACTTCTCATCTTGTCTGTTTCACTTCTCATCATGTGTGAGCATCATTTCACATTTCAACTTGATCAACACCAAACTAAGAATTCAACTAATACTTCACTAATTTTGTAATACTAGTCAAACTGGAACTGATGATCATCTTGTAGAGTGAGCTAATTTATTTTGTTAGATTGATCTAATCTTATTATCTTTTTATATTTGATGATCTAATCTTATTTATTCAACAATCAATTGTGATTGTTTCCTGGTTTATAACCTGACAATACTTGATGCACATTACTATTGTTTTAATTTATTATAATTATTATTAATGTGCAATATTTTAAGTCCAGAATTAAAGTACCTTATTACCTGTGATACAGATTTTATAACTTTTTTTATTATTATATTTTATATATAATATAATATAAATAATTATATATATATATATATATATTTAATTTTATTATTTTTTTTTTTTTTTTTTTTTTTTTTGTAAAAACACATGGAAAAAAATTAAAATATAAAGTTTCTTAATTTGTATTATTTTTTTTACCATATTTTGCATTTGTGATACATAATGAAGGTCTGAATAACATGAGTTTGGGTGTCTATGCCAAGTTTGTAATCTTAGGGTTTAATCCCTCTTTAGGTATCCTTTGATGCACGGGAACTCTGCCTCTCGGATCAAACCTGATCGCTTACCGTTTTCCTGCAAAAGATGCTGTATGACGCCCTATGGGTTTAGCGCTTTTAAGTACAGTATAATAATTCTAGGTCAAAACTGTAACGTATTAGAAGTGAATATGGTAATGGTATACAATGCAGACAGGTTAAGATACTGTTCAGCAGTTGGGTATCTTGATTCCTGAAATGCTCCGCCTACACAGTAGGCTTCTTCCTGAAACGCTTCGCCGACACAGTAGGCTTCTACAGTCCAGTACAGAAGAGTTAGCAGAGGTAGAGATATAATCAGTCCATTACCCTTGAAGAAGTAAAGTGAACGGGTACAAGACAGGTTCTTGTAAGAAACTGTCATGTGGGGGTATTGGGGAATATGGGAGTAAAGGGAGGGAAAAGGGCAGGGGATAGGCAGGAGAGGTGAGTCAAGTGATTAGCGGAGGTAAGTAAACAACGGGGACAGTGAATATTACTATTCCATTCAAACACAGTTTATTATTAAGTCCTTGTACAATAATATATTTGGGAACAGGAGAACATTATTGGGGTTTAGATAAATGGGGATGGCACACATAAGCAGTGAGACAGGGAATACAATCAACTGACGAAACAGAATATAACTTACAATATAGTTCAGAGGACAGTTCACCACAGGAACTAAATCACACACTAGCCACAGGTCCCAAGACCTACACAGCACAAGCACTGCTCCAAGCCAGTACTCTGCCCAATGTCTCCAGAGACTCCAGCAGCCCTCTCCCAAACCCTGCACACTAGCAGCAGCTCCGCTCGAATCTCCTTTGCTCAGCTGTTCCTTGGGCTTATATGGTCTTCAAAGCACCCCCCACAATGAGGTGTACACACGTGTTTTGACCTGACGCCGAGATCTGACACCGTCAAGGACAAAAGGTCTCATATTTAAGCTGAAAGGCGTGTCTAACAGCTATTTGCTAAGGCAAGGTGTGACCATACAATTGGTTAAACTAGGTGTCCCTTAGCGACCTCAAAAGCACAGTGGACTACATCACAAAATGTATAATCTGAGATTCTTTAACAACAATCTTACACAGGGTTGGTCCTCACTGCAAGGCTCTTGTGAACCTTACTGGTTTAACGCTTGACTTCGTTATGTTTAGATATGTTGCAGTTTAACTATATTATCTGCACACCTCTGGCACGACAGTAATGGAGTGAATGACGAAAGTGTTTCTTCTTCCTCGGGGTCACCCTGCCTAGGTGGGTAACTGCCTGTTGTAACAAGGCAGGGGATGGGGGCTTATACTCTAATGGTAAACAAGAACCACAAACAAATGAGCAAGACAGATGTGTAACACTTGGTTATTTCTTGTGCAGATGTTCGCCAGCCAGTGGCTGTTGTCAGTTCAGTAGAGATTAATACTGTAGATGATGGAATCCATGAAATAGTAATCTGAGGTGATCAGTCCCTCAGCATTGATGAATCTGATCCATAATTTTTCAAGGCTGAGGGACTGATTACCTCAAACTATTGCTTGGTTTTCTGTCATTATACACAGTACTGGACTGATAAAGCCACTGGTTACCTGGAGGTTATTCCGGGGATCAACGCCCCCGCGGCCCGGTCCATGACCAGGCCTCCCGATGGATCAGGGCCTGATCAACTAGGCTGTTACTGCTGGCCGCACGCAGTCCGACGTACGAGCCACAGCCCGGCTGATCCGGCACTGACTTTAGGTATCTGTCCAGCTCTCTCTTGAAGGCAGCCAGGGGTTTATTGGCAATTCCCCTAATGCTTGATGGGAGGCTGTTAAACAGTTTTGGGCCCCGGACACTTATGGTGTTTTCTCTTAGTGTACCAATGGCGCCCCTACTTTTTATTGGCGGCATTTTGCATCGCCTGCCCAGTCTTTTACTTTCGTAGGGAGTGATTTCTGTGTGCAGATTTGGGACCATTCCTTCCAAGATTTTCCAAGTGTAGATTATGATATATTCTCTCCCTCCTGCGTTCCAACGAGTAAAAAGTCAAGTGCTTCCAAGCGTTCCCAGTAGTTAAGGTGCTTGACAGAACTTATACGTGCAGTAAAGGATCTCTGTACACTCTCTAGATCTGCGATTTCACCTGCTTTGAATGGAGATGTTAATGTACAGCAGTATTCCAGCCTAGAGAGAACAAGTGATTTGAAAAGGATCATCATGGGCTTGGCATCTCTCGTTTTGAAAGTTCTCATTATCCATCCTATCATTTTCTTTGCACGTGCGATCGTGGCACTGTTGTGATCCTTGAAAGTGAGATCCTCAGACATTACTACTCCCATCTCCACAATGATACCCTCGTGTTGCTCAAGTGTCTTATTCATCTAGATAAGACTTCATCCAAGGAAGTGGAGCTATCCTTCCTTTTCTTAGATCATGGTTACATCCTATTCCGTAGGTGATGAACCCCTACGGCTTTAGCGTTTCCCCTTGATTATGGAAATTCTAAAAGATGTCGCGTGCTGTATGACCCCCCTACAGGTTCAGCGCTTCCCCAAGATGTGCCACGTGTTCAAGGTTATCTAGATCACCCAAGCTGTGATGGACATGTGGGTCAGCAGGGCGCCAGCAACAACAGCTTGGTTGACCAAGCAAGCACCAGACGAGCCTGGACCTGAGTCAAGCTGCGAGAGCAGGAAAATTAGACCCGTCAAAGGTGTTTGCCCATCAGATGTTAATGTTTCTACAATGCATAAACCCCTCAAGGAAGGTTCCTTGATGTTGGTGAGGGGCTCTTGATTTAGGGAATTGGATCTGTGCTCCAGTTCCCCGAATTAAGCCTGAATGCCTTCCACATCCCCCCCCCAGGCGCTGTATAATCCTCCGGGTTTAGCGCTTCCCCCTTGATTATAATAATACAATGCATAAAGCTAAAAGATTTATAACAGCCTTTTCAAAGGACTAGCGAGTTATAAAGGATATAATAATAATATATTTACTAGGAGTACATGATACAACTTATACAGACCATAGCTGACACCAATGACATACTACTATATACAAAGCCGCTTGTTATGCTGAGCATTTCCCGCAAATTAGGTCAGTTTTGTCCCAGGATGCGACCCACACCAGTCCACTAACACCCAGGTACCTATTTTACTGATGGGTGAACATGCACAACCAATGTACGGAAACACGTCCGATGTTTCCACCCCTTCGCCAGGAATCGAACCCGGACAACTCGCCGTGTGAAGCGAGATCTTTTGCCACCAGGCCACGGGCCACCGTGATGAATAACCCAGACATAGGAGAGAGAAACTTACGGTATTGTGCCTCATTGCTCTTCAGGATTGTTTCTTGGAGGACAATCTTAGACTTCAGTCAGCTAATTACTGCTTGAAGCTCGTAAACAGTTAGCCATTTGACTCTCTGAGTAACAGTGAAATACTGACATAGTGGATGGACCTGCCTGGAGAGTGTACCTCACTGCCGGGTCCCAGACCAGCCATCATCACCATCATCCTACCTTGTACTCTAGGTTCAACACATTCCTCTGGCTACCTTGTACTCTGGGTTCAACACATTCCTCAGGCTATCTTGTACTCTGGGGTCAATACATTCCTCAGGCTACCTTGTACTCTGGGTTCAACACATTCCTCAGGCTACCTTGTACTCTGAGGTCAATACATTCCTCAGGCTACCTTGTACTCTGGGTTCAACACATTCCTCGGGCTACCTTGTACTCTGGGTTCAACACATTCCTCAGGCTACCTTGTACTCTGGGGTCAATACATTCCTCAGGCTACCTTGTACTCTGGGTTCAACACATTCCTCAGGCTACCTTGTACTTTGGGGTCAATACATTCCTCAGGCCCGGTGGCCTGGTGGCTAAAGCTCCCGCTTCACACACGGGAGGGCCCGGGTTCGATTCCCGGCGGGTGGAAACATTTCGACACGTTTCCTTACACCTGTTGTCCTGTTCACCTAGCAGCAAATAGGTACCTGGGTGTTAGTCGACTGGTGTGGGTCGCATCCTGGGGGACAAGATTAAGGACCCCAATGGAAATAAGTTAGACAGTCCTCGATGACGCACTGACTTTCTTGGGTTATCCTGGGTGGCTAACCCTCCGGGGTTAAAAATCCGAACGAAATCTTATCTTATCTTATCTTACTTTGTACTCTGGGTTCAACACATTCCTCAGGCTACCTTGTACTCTGGGGTCAATACATTCCTCAGGCTACCTTGTACTCTGGGTTCAACACATTCCTCAGGCTACCTTGTACTCTGGGGTCAATACATTCCTCAGGCTACCTTGTACTCTGGGTTCAACACATTCCTCAGGCTACCTTGTACTTTGGGGTCAATACATTCCTCAGGCTACTTTGTACTCTGGGTTCAACACATTCCTCAGGCTACTTGTACTCTGGGGTCAATACATTCCTCAGGCTACCTTGTACTCTGGGTTCAACACATTCCTCAGGCTACCTTGTACTCTGGGGTCAATACATTCCTCAGGCTACCTTGTACTCTGGGTTCAACACATTCCTCAGGCTACCTTGTACTCTGAGGTCAATACATTCCTCAGGCTACCTTGTACTCTGGGTTCAACACATTCCTCGGGCTACCTTGTACTCTGGGTTCAACACATTCCTGAGGCTACCTTGTACTCTGGGGTCAATACATTCCTCAGGCTACCTTGTACTCTGGGTCAATACATTCCTCAGGCTACCTTGTACCTGGGTTCAACACATTCCTCAGGCTACCTGTACTCTGAGGTCAATACATTCCTCAGCTACTTGTACTCTGGGTTCAACACATTCCTCGGGCTACCTTGTACTCTGGGTTCAACACATTCCTCAGGCTACCTTGTACTCTGGGGTCAATACATTCCTCAGGCTACTTGTACTCTGGTTCAACACATTCCTCAGCTACCTTGTACTTTGGGGTCAATACATTCCTCAGGCTACTTTGTACTCTGGGTTCAACACATTCCTCAGGCTACCTTGTACTCTGGGGTCAATACATTCCTCAGGCTACCTTGTACTCTGGGTTCAACACATTCCTCAGGCTACCTTGTACTCTGGGTTCAACACATTCCTCAAGCTACCTTGTACTCTGGGTTCAACACATTCCTCAGGCTACTTTGTACTCTGGGATCAACACATACATCGGACCTCAGTGTGTGCCCTACCATCCTGGTCTAAATTCTCTGAGTTCCAGGTATATTAAAGGCTTCTGACATCATCCAGGCCCCTCCCTTGAATCATGCGAACGTCCGTCAGAAATAATATACATGTCGTGATACGTATTGAGTCCATACGTCGTGATACGTATTGACTTTCCTCAGCCAGTTAAAACTCAGATTGAGACGAGTGCTTGGCTGAGGCAAAATTAACTAGTGGAGAACACTTGTCCAGCGTTGTAAGTAATACGTAGGAGCTGGGAGCTCTGTTCTACACTAGCATTGGTGAGGATACAACCTGGCTTGCTTCCCTGCAACGTACCTGCTTGTAGTGCTTGTACGAGAGAACGCTACCAAGATATTGAGACCCGCGAATCTCACAGGTATGATAATTTTAAATTTACAAAAGATACTTGATTTAGTAAACCAGAAAAGCGTATTTCGTAAGAAACTGGAGGTTATCGGCATAGACTCTGTAGACTGGTTGAATTTACATGTGTATCAGAGAACAGTGTGTCGTGGTAACAGAGAACAGTGTGTCGTGGTAACAGAGAACAGTGTGTCGTGGTAATAGAGAACAGTGTGTCGTGGTAATAGAGAACAGTGTGTCGTGGTAATAGAGAACAATGTGTCGTGGTAATAGAGAACAATGTGTCGTGGTAATAGAGAACAGTGTGTCGTGGTAATAGAGAACAGTGTGTCGTGGTAACAGAGAACAGTGTGTCGTGGTAATAGAGAACAGTGTGTCGTGGTAACAGAGAACAGTGTGTCGTGGTAATAGAGAACAATGTGTCGTGGTAATAGAGAACAGTGTGTCGTGGTAATAGAGAACAGTGTGTCGTGGTAATAGAGAACAGTGTGTCGTGGTAATAGAGAACAATGTGTCGTGGTAATAGAGAACAGTGTGTCGTGGTAACAGAGAACAGTATGTCGTGGTAACAGAGAACAATGTGTCGTGGTAATAGAGAACAGTGTGTCGTGGTAACAGAGAACAGTGTGTCGTGGTAACAGAGAACAGTGTGTCGTGGTAACAGAGAACAGTGTGTCGTGGTAACAGAGAACAGTGTGTCGTGGTAACAGAGAACAATGTGTCGTGGTAACAGAGAACAATGTGTCGTGGTAACAGAGAACAGTGTGTCGTGGTAACAGAGAACAGTGTGTCGTGGTAACAGAGAACAATGTGTCGTGGTAACAGAGAACAGTGTGTCGTGGTAACAGAGAACAGTGTGTCGTGGTAACAGAGAACAATGTGTCGTGGTAACAGAGAACAGTGTCGTGGTAACAGAGAACAGTGTGTCGTGGTAACAGAGAACAGTGTGTCGTGGTAACAGTAAACAATGTGTCGTAGATGATGTAATCAGTCACCAACCTTGGAGAACCAGTTTTTGAGGTGATCAGTCCCACTGCAGAGGGATTATTCTTATCTCGGTGCGTTAACAAACTGACCTGTGAGTTTTAGAACTCACTCGCCACAGGTTCGAATGCCACCCGTTCCCTAATTAGATTATCCTTGTTCTTCACGATACTCTGCATTAACAAAAATAAATTGACCTGGGTCTAAGAGAGCATTTAGACCAGGATAACATAAGATTTTTCTTGGGATACCTAACTTAGAGGGTTAGCCACCCAGGATAACACAATTAGTGCGTGATCAAGGAAGGTCTTATTTCAATTGTGGTCCTTTAATTTTCTCCCCCAGGATGCTACCCACAACAGTAGATCTGCACCTACCTACTTACTGTTAGGTTCCCAGGGGCAGCAGGTGAGAGGAGACATGCCCAACGTTTTCACTAGTGTCGGGGAGCGATCCTCGGTCCCTGAGTGTGTGAGCTGACGACACTACCAACCGAACCAAAGGTGGAAATGCAACACTTGGAAGCATTTAATGCAACAGATAGGGTAAAGCAAGCGAAGCTCAATAATGTATTTAAACTGCTGACAACCATGTCCAGAATGACTCATGAAATCGTAAGGACACGATTGCAAACCATACCACGGGTGGGGATGGAACTCATGGCGGGTGAGTCGCAAAACTCACTCGCCACGAGTTCAAATCCCACCCCGCCTGAAATGCTCTGCGTACTAAGAACTTTCTTCGTGCACACCTAAATGTCACCACCTCTGTACAAACACTGTATCATGCTGTAATAAAGAATCCTTAATCCCTTAAGTCTAAAAATATCCAGTATGATGGTAGAGAAAGTGAACATAGTTGTGTAGTAGCCACAGTAGGTAGCCAGGCCTCAAAAACCTGGTGACAGCCTGATATGATAAGATAGCCTATTCCGACTAGGCTGTCTTATCATATCAAGACCAGTTTAGGAAAAATACTGAGAAGTACCTAATGAATGACCAAATTATACTCGCATAATTCATTTACATATAACTTATTTACTCTATTTTATATTGTCAATTATCCTAACTTATTTTTACTGCATCTAATAATTAATATAAAGACTCCAATGGAAATAAATCACTTTGACTTTTTGGGGTTATCCTCGACAGTTACTAAATTATACCTGCTTACTTTCCACAGAAAATTTGGAAGCTTAGTGTATCGGCCGTCTGAGCTTGAATGGTTCGACAGCCTCAGTATGACGACTCCACAGGACGTACATGATGTCAGTGCATCAGTCTGTGAATCTGATTTGGCTTTGTCTGATGACATAGTGAATGTCATAACTATGGATCCTATGGCAGATACCGGATACACTGACCTTGGTGATCCAGACACTGCATATACTGACCTCGGTGATCCAGACACTGCATATATTGACCTCGGTGATCCAGACACTGTATGCACTTACTTCGGTGATACAACCTTCGTACCACAGATGGATGCAAGTGAAGCCACCATTCCAAGCACAGTGGAGTCCATGCCCGGCACTGCAGCTGATGACCTTAACTTGGAGCAGATGGTGGCAGTGGCACCTTCAGACATCTTCGAGGAGGAAGTTCCTAAGAAGAGAGAACGTAAACGCAAGTCACAAGATGAGGCCAGACCTTCCCGCAGGCGACGCCCCAAGAAGCCAAAACTTAATGAGACTGAAACTCCATTTGAAAATGAAGAGTTGGGGGAAAAGGCTAAGAACACCCAGACTACCAAGATAAATCGTAACCTGGGAAAGCAGAGACTACTAGATATGCAGATGGAGCTGAGTGCTGCCACTGCCGAGAGAGACAACCTGCAGGAGGTTCAACAACTACAACGGAGCAGACAATGTTGATGCAGCAGATAGATGTCTACCAGCAGAATGATCAAGAATTTTACTCCGAATTCTTCTAACGCCATCGAGACCACCTGCTCCAGCCCTAAAGCAGCAAAAAGGAAAATAATGGACTAAAGACAAACCAACCACAGCATCCTGCCAAGCAGGGTGCTCTTGCCCGCTTGATAACAACATCATACCACAAGTAGACTGCACCAGGGCTCATCTGCCCTGCTGCCCCACACCATTACAAACATATTACACAGACCAGCTAACTCGACACCTACACTTCATTTTCTCGTTGTATCTTTTAAGGTGCTGCAATTGCTCTGAACTGTGATGCTTAAAATTAATTAACTACCTCAACTAATTTAACATAACTGTGATATTAAAATTAATTAACTTCCTCAACTAATTTAACATAACTGTGATATTAAAATTATTTAAGTACCTCAACTAATTTAACATAACTGTGATATTAAAATTATTTAACTTCCTCAACTAATTTAACATAACTGTGATATTAAAATTATTTAAGTACCTCAACTAATTTAACATAACTGTGATATTAAAATTAATTAACTTCCTCAACTAATTTAACATAACTGTGATATAACATTATTAAGTACCTCAACTAATTTAACATAACTGTGATATTAAAATTAATTAACTTCCTCAACTAATTTAACATAACTGTGATATTAAAATTATTTAAGTACCTCAACTAATTTAACATAACTGTGATATTAACCATAACTACCTTAACTGTGATAGAAGAATAATTAGTTTAGATTTTTTTACATTCCTAAAAAAAAAAAAAGAACTTTTGTTAAATTTCAAGATGAGTTGAACTAATCACATGGTTTTTCTAATTTCAAGATTTGTTGGGTTCATCGAGGCAGTACCCATCTGTTTGTGGTTACAGGAGTCGATTCACAGCTCCTGGCCCCAACGACTGGCAGTGGACGACTGGTGATGTACCTGATATCAGATGCCAGTGACTAACGACCACCCAATATAACAACCTATGGACAATAGCCACATTTTTTGATACCAATGTGTCGTCAGAATTATATTAATGTACCTGATATAAATATCAAAAGTAATTATGATAATTTAGCAAACATAATTTTCCATACAGAAGTTTTAGAATGATTATTTAAAACTGATTTTGTAATGATTTCAGTTTTTTTAATTAATTACATTTGGTAAATTAGAGGAATTGTGCAAGAACAATAGTGAATAAGATTGTAAAGGTTGAAACATTTAGAATACTGGCCTATAGGTAGGCCTCTCTATACTAGGTAGGCCTCTCTGTACTAGGTAGGCCTCTCTGTACTAGGTAGGCCCTCTATACTAGGTAGGCCTCTATACTAGGTAGGCCTCTGTACTAGGTAGGCCTCTCTATACTAGGTAGGCCTCTCTATACTAGGTAGGCCTCTCTATACTAGGTAGGCCTCTCTATACTAGGTAGGCCTCTCTATACTAGGTAGGCCTCTCTATACTAGGTAGGCCTCTGTACTAGGTAGGCCTCTCTATACTAGGTAGGCCTCTATACTAGGTAGGCCTCTCTGTACTAGGTAGGCCCTCTATACTAGGTAGGCCTCTCTATACTAGGTAGGCCTCTCTGTACTAGGTAGGCCCCTCTATACTAGGTAGGCCTCTCTATACTAGGTAAGCCTCTCTGTACTAGGTAGGCTCCTCTATACTAGGTAGGCCCCTCTGTACTAGGTAGGCTCCTCTATACTAGGTAGGCCTCTCTATACTAGGTAAGCCTCTCTATACTAGGTAGGCCTCTCTGTACTAGGTAGGCCCTCTATACTAGGTAGGCCTCTCTATACTAGGTAGGCCTCTCTATACTAGGTAGGCCTCTCTATACTAGGTAGGCCTCTCTATACTAGGTAGGCCTCTCTATACTAGGTAGGCCTCTCTATACTAGGTAGGCCTCTCTGTACTAGGTAGGCCCTCTATACTAGGTAGGCCTCTCTATACTAGGTAGGCCTCTCTGTACTAGGTAGGGCCCTCTATACTAGGTAGGCCTCTCTATACTAGGTAGGCCTCTGTACTAGGTAGGCTCCTCTATACTAGGTAGGCCCCTCTGTACTAGGTAGGCCCCTCTGTACTAGGTAGGCCCCTCTGTACTAGGTAGGCCCCTCTATACTAGGTAGGCCCCTCTGTACTAGGTAGGCCCCTCTATACTAGGTAGGCCCCTCTATACTAGGTAGGCCCTCTATACTAGGTAGGCTCCTCTATACTAGGTAGGCCCCTCTATACTAGGTAGGCCCCTCTGTACTAGGTAGGCACCTCTATACTAGGTAGGCCCTTCTATACTAGGTAGGCCTCTCTATATACTAGGTAGTACCTTCTATACTAGGCAGTTCTTTCTATACTAGGCAGTTCCGTCTATACTAGGCAGTTTCATCTATACTAGGCAGTTCCATCTATACTAGGCAGTTCCATCTATACTAGGCAGTTCCATCTATACTAGGCAGTTCCATCTATACTAGGCAGTTCCATCTATACTAGGCAGTTCCATCTATACAAGGCAGTTCCATCTATACAAGGCAGTTCCATCTATACAAGGCAGTTCCATCTATACTAGGCAGTTCCATCTATACTAGGCAGTTCCATCTATACTAGGCACTTCCTTTATACTAGGCAGTTTTTTCTCAGGTTGTAAGTTGACAAGTCACTGTATATAAAGTTTAACTAGTCAACACTAGTCAACACTAGCTCTGCTACTCTAGTATCTACCGACTCAAGTTACTACTAATACTGCACAAATTTACACTGATATTAACCCCTGTAGTTTTAAGATGTAATTATTCATGTGTGTGACAGGAGGTCGACAGGCTTAAGGAAGGAAATACTCGGGAATATTCAGAAATACTCGGGAATATTCAGAAATACTCGGGAATATTCAGAAATACTCGGGAATTTTCAGAATACTCGGGAATTATTCAGAAAATACTCGGGAATAATTCAGAAATACTCGGGAATATTCAGAAATACTCGGGAATATTCAGAAATACTCGGGAATATTCAGAAATACTTGGGAATATTCAGAAATACTCGGGAATATTCAGAAATTATTGGGAATATTCGAAAGTCGGGAATATTCAGAAAAATACTCGGGAATATTCAGAAATACTGGGAATATTCAGAAATACTCGGGAATATTCAGAAATACTCGGGAATATTCAGAAATACTTGGGAATATTCAGAAATACTCGGGAATATTCAGAAATACTCGGGAATATTCAGAAATACTCGGGAATATTCAGAAATACTCGGGAATATTCAGAAATACTCGGGAATATTCAGAAATACTTGGGAATATTCAGAAATACTCGGGAATATTCAGAAATACTCGGGAATATTCAGAAATACTTGGGAATATTCAGAAATACTTGGGAATATTCAGAAATACTTGGGAATATTCAGAAATACTTGGGAATATTCAGAAATACTCGGGAATAACTAGAAATTCACAGGAGTACTCGGGTGTAGCTAGAAGTGCTCAGGAGTACTTAGGTATAACTAAAAGTACTCAGGGATACTCGGAATAACGAAAAATACTCAGGTATAACTAGAAATACTCAGGAATATTCAGGAATACTCAGGTATAGCTTATAATACTCAGGAATACTGGGAATAACAAGAAATACTCAGGTATAGTGTAACGGTTAATATTTTAAGAATATTTAAAAAATCAGGAATAACTACAAATTTTTACTGTGATTAATAATTGCTTTAAATTCAGGTAATATTAATTTTTACTGTGAAGATGTTTTTGTTATATAATTATTATTAATAAGGATTTTATGATTATTATTAATTATTTTATGATGATTAATTATTTTATGATTATTATTATTTTATTATTATTATTATTTTATTATTAAATTTTATATTTTTATTGTATTATTATTAATAGTACTGATGTCATTATTTGTATAAATATTTTGTCCAGTAATATTCTTGAATAATTTTAATAGTTAAAAGTATATGTTGTCTATAAAAAAAAAATATATAATATCTGAAATATATTTTTGTAATATATAAATATCTCTATATATTATAAACCTGATATTGAAGAAGTAATATATTATATATATATATATAATATATATATATATATATATATTATATATATATATTTTATATATATATATATATTTTATATATATATATATATGCGCAGGGATCGATCCCCTGTACGGGTGGAAACATTAGGGCGTGTTGTTTCCTTAAGATACCTGCTGTCCATGTTCACCTAGCAGTAAAATAGGTACCTGGGTGAACATAGTCACCCAGTGTAAGGACACACGTCCGATGTTTCCAACCCTTCGCCGGGAATCGAACCCGGACATCCACCGCGTGAAGCGAGAGGTTTTGCCACCAGGCAAAAGTTACATTATAAGGTTGAAGTTAGTGTTGACAGATCTTCAAGTGAATGCTTTACGACATGATAAGGTTATCATTAAATCTATATATTATCAGTGTTATCATGCAGGGAGCGCAACGTGGGTACTGACACATCCACCAGGATCTATATTCAAGGATGCTACTGTTATGTACCTTTATTTACGTTATATATACCACTAAGAACTGAGTCAGACCTAACACAACAATAAAGGAACAATGCAGTAATAATAATATTTATTTCTAGCAGTACATGATACAACTTATACAGACCATAGCTGACATCAATGACATACTACTATATAGAGAGTCCCTTGGTATGCTGAGCATTTAAGAACATAGAAAGACGGAACATTGCTGCAGGCCTACTGGCCCATGCGAGGCAGGTCCAAGTCTCCTACCCGCTTAAGCCAATGCCCCAATCTAGTCAGGTCAGGTCACATTCAGTTAAGGAAGGAACACGGCAACTGACCTAGTAGCACAAGTTAGTCAGGTCCAACTCACACCCACCCACACCCAGTCATGTATTTATCTAACCTATTTTTAAAACTACACAACGTTTTAGCCTCTATAACTGTACTCGGGCGACTTAGGTTAATTTTGTCCCCCAGGATGTTACCCACACCAATCGGCTAACACCCAGGTACCTACTTACTGCTAGGTAAACAAGGACAGCAGATGTCTTAAGAAAACACACCCTAATATTCCAACCCGTAAATAACCCGTACCGGGGATCAAACCACGGACCTCAGGGTGTGAGCTGAGTGCGCTACAAACCAAGTACTTTAACTCACACCCACAAAAGGACTTTGTCAGCAGAAATAAACCCCCTCCCCACAACACGAAATAAAAAAAAAAAAAATCCAGATATCTTCCTCACAAAAGTTCAAGAAATGTCTGAATATCTCATGTTGACATGACGAATTCTTGTCAAATATTGTACCATCAACTCCGCCTTTTTCAAATAAGTCTTATTACTATAGATGTTGCTTAACCAAGAGAGAAAAATGTTTTGCCTGGTTCCTGGGACCATTGTGACCCAGACAATGGAGTGTACTTCACTGTAGTGTTCCTGGGACCATTGTGACCCAGACAATGGAGTGTACTTCACTGTAGTGTTCCTGGGACCATTGTGACCCAGACAATGGAGTGTACTTCACTGTAGTGTTCCTGGGACCATTGTGACCCAGACAATGGAGTGTACTTCACTGTAGTGTTCCTGGGACCATTGTGGGCCCAGACAATGGAGTGTACTTCACTGTAATGTTCCTGGGACCATTGTGACCCAGACAATGGAGTGTACTTCACTGTAGTGTTCCTGGGACCATTGTGACCCAGACAATGGAGTGTACTTCACTGTAGTGTTCCTGGGACCATTGTGACCCAGACAATGGAGTGTACTTCACTGTAGTGTTCCTGGGATCTAATTTAATAACTGTGTAATCAAAGTTATTACCAGATTAGCTGATCCTCCAGGTCCGTAAATTGCTGTGTTGACATTATTCCGTACCCTTGTTAAGTTTTGACGACCAACAACAGGATGGGTACTAAGTCACTACCATCCACAGGATGGGTACTGAGTGACGACCACAAGCAGGATGGGTACTGAGTGACGACCACCCACAGGATGGGTACTGAGTGACGACCACCCATAGGATGGGTACTGAGTGACGACCACCCACAGGATGGGTACTGAGTGACGACCACCCATAGGATGGGTACTGAGTGACGACTACCCGCAGGATGGGTACTGAGTGACGACCACCCACAGGATGGGTACTGAGTGACGACCATCCACAGGATGGGTACTGAGTGACGACTACCCACAGGATGGGTACTGAGTGACGACTACCCACAGGATGGGTACTGAGTGACGACTACCCACAGGATGGGTACTGAGTGACGACTACCCACAGGATGGGTACTGAGTGACGACTACCCACAGATGGGTATGAGTGACGACCCCCCACAGGATGGGTACTGAGTGACGACTACCCACAGGATGGGTACTGAGTGACGACTACCCACAGGATGGGTACTGAGTGACGACTACCCACAGGATGGGTACTGAGTGACGACTACCCGCACGATGGGTACTGAGTGACGACTATCCACAGGATGGGTACTAAGTCACTACCATCCACAGGAGGGGTACTAAGTCACTACCGTCCACAGGATGGGTACTAAGTCACTACCGTCCACAGGATGGGTACTAAGTCACTACCATCCACAGGAGGGGTACTAAGTCACTACCGTCCACAGGATGGGTACTAAGTCACTACCATCCACAGGAGGGGTACTAAGTCACAACCATCCACAGGATGGCTACTAAGTCACTACCGTCCACAGGATGGGTACTAAGTCACTACCGTCCACAGGAGGGGTACTAAGTCACTACCGTTCACAGGATGGGTACTAAGTCACTACCGTCCACAGGAGGGGTACTAAGTCACTACCGTCCACAGGATGGGTACTAAGTCACTACCGTTCACAGGAGGGGTACTAAGTCACTACCGTCCACAGGATGGGTACTAACTACAGACCAATAGCACTAACATCCCATATCATAAAAATCTTTGAAAGGGTCCTAAGAAGCAAGATCACCACCCATCTAGAAACCCATCAGTTACACAACCCAGGGCAACATGGGTTTAGAACAGGTCGCTCCTGTCTGTCTCAACTACTGGATCACTACGACAAGGTCCTAAATGCACTAGAAGACAAAAAGAATGCAGATGTAATATATACAGACTTTGCAAAAGCCTTCGACAAGTGTGACCATGGCGTAATAGCGCACAAAATGCGCGCTAAAGGAATAACAGGAAAAGTCGGTCGATGGATCTATAATTTCCTCACTAACAGAACACAGAGAGTAGTCGTCAACAGAGTAAAGTCCGAGGCAGCTACGGTGAAAAGCTCTGTTCCCAAGGCACAGTACTAGCTCCCATCTTGTTCCTCATCCTCATATCCGACATAGACAAGGATGTCAGCCACAGCACCGTGTCTTCCTTTGCAGATGACACCCGAATCTGCATGACAGTGTCTTCCATTGCAGACACTGCAAGGCTCCAGGCGGAC